TGCTGTCCACATCTTGTGGTTTTAGGGGATGTTTCCACTCAAGATAAAGGCATGTTGTGTGCCAGTGTCTCAAGGCACAAATGGCGATAGCACCTCTTGAGGGATGCCCTGTGGGTGATCCTAAAGAACGAAGGCTGGGGCTCCCTCATGCTGGTTGCAAGGGCAGGCTGGAAGCCTAACCCTAGTCATTGCCTATAGTGCTGGCTTCTTCCTTAGGATGACACTGCCTTCTACCTGAAAAAAAAATACTCATTTCAGGTTCATCGTTGAGAAGAAGTCAAGGCTGGATGTGGTGACCCACACTTATAATCCCAGCACTTTGAGAGACTGAGGAAGTTGGATTAGTTGAGCCCGGGAGTTCAAAACCATCCTTGGCAAGATGGTAAAACACTGTTTCTACAAAGAATACAAAAATTAGTCAGGTGTGGTGGTGCATGCCTGTAGTCCCAGCTACTAGGGAGGCTGAGAAGTGGGAGGATTGCTTCAGCCTGGGAGATTGAGGCTTCCCAGGAGATAGAGGCTGCAGTGAGCTGTGATCTGAGCAACAGAGTGAGACCTTGTCTCAAAAAAAAAAAAAAAAAAAAAAAGTCAGGAATGGCCTCTCTGTCAACATTTATGAATCAGCAAACTAGGGAAAGGTTTTATTTTTGATGTTGAGCTAACAGTGATGACATTTTAATGATAACATTTTAGTTTTAAAATTTTCTGTCCTTCTTTCAGAAAAAATTTATTTAAACTATAAAAATTAAATACTAGATTGAGCACGGTGGCTCACGCCTGTAATTCCAATACTTTGGGAGGCCGAGGCAGGCAGATCACAATGTCAGGAGTTTGAGATCAGCATGGCCAACATGGCGAAACCCTGACTCTACTAAAAATACAAAATTAGCTGGGCGTGGTGGTCTGTGCCTGTAATGCCAGCTACTTGGGAGGCCAAGATAGGAGAATCACTTATATTTGGAAGGTGGAGATTGCAGTGAACTGAGAGTGAGCCATTGCACTCTAGCCTGGGCAACATGGCAAGACTCCATCTCAAAAAATAAAATAAAATAAATACTCTATGGGAACTTACTGTTAAAAAGGAATTTTTGTTGTATTGCCCTTTTTTTTGGAGACAGAGTCTCACTCTGTCGCCCAGGCTGGAGTGCAGTGGTGTGATTTTGGTTTACTACAACCTCTGCCTCCTGAGTTCAAGCAAGCATGTCTGGCTATTTTGTATTTTTAGTAGAGGTGGGGTTTTACCTTGTTGGCCAGGCTCATTTGAACTTCTGAACTCCACTGATCTGCTTGCCTCAGCCTCCCAAAGTGCTGGGATTTCAGGCGTCAGCTACCACTCCTGGCCTGTATTGCCTTTTTATGGTATGCATATCTTGTCTCTTTTATTTTCTTGTGTTAGAGCTTCTTAAAGCAGCGGGGTAGATACTCATGTTTCACTCAATCTAAGGTGCTGTCAGTCCGGCCTTACATTATTTTATGTCACCAAGAAAGAAGAAAACACTGCTAATTATACTGTGGCCCTGTGCCTTCTTGTCACTTAGTGATCTTATTCTTCAGGTTTTGATGCTGGCACTTTCCTCTCTGATAACTCTTACTTTCTGTATCTCTTGTGTTTGTCACTGGAATTTAAGCACCTTCTGCCAGACTCGGAAAAATTCTAGTATTAGGATGCTTGTTGCCTTGAAACTTTTGCCATCTATTCTGAAAGCATCTGGCAGTGTCTGTTGCCTTCCACTGCATTGCCGGGCATGTGTCAGGCAGTCCTCTTCCGGTTCAGTCCTTTTCACAGTTTCACCTACTGGTAGGGATCTTCCTTTCCTAAGTTTCATACAGCATTTGATTGTTGCCTTGCAAGAAAATGTAGAATTGTATCATTTTTCCAGTGATGAATATTTGATTCGTAAATATCAAATTACACCCTAATGGTCTCTTCCTGTGTCTTTCTGCATACACGATAATTTTTTTTTCTTTTTTTGACATGGAATTTTGCTCTTGTTGCGCAGGCTGTGGTGCAATGGTGCAATCTCTGTTCACCACAACCTGTGCCCCTCGGATTCAAGTGATTCTCCTGCCTCAGCCTCCCAAGTAGCTGGGATTATGGGCATGTGCCACCATACCTGGCTAATTTTTTGTATTTTTTTTTGTAGAGATGGAGTTTCCCCATGTTGGTCAGGCTGGTTTCGACCTCAGGTGATCCATCTGCCTTGGCACCTCCCAAAGTGCTGGGATTACAGTCATGAGGCATCGTGCCCAGCCAGTTTTTCATTTTAATGAAAAGAATCATAGTGATTCTTTCTGGAGACATTATTATTATTATTATTATTGTACTTTGGACTCTGGGGTACATGTATGTGCACATCCTGCATCCTGCAGGATTGCTGCATAAGTACATACATGCCACATTCCCCGCTCTCCATCAACCCCGTTGCCTATGTCAGGCATTTCTCCCCGTGTTATCCATCCCCATTCACCCCACTCCCCGCTGTCCCTCCCCTCCCCTCCCCTCTACCTCCTCACCTAACCCAGTGAATGTTGTTCCCTTCCCTGTGCCCAAGTATCACCTGCCTATAAGTGAAAACATGAGGTGTTTGGTTTTCTGTTCTTGTTTCAGTTTGCTGAGAATGATGGTTTCTAGATTCATCCATGTCTCCAGAAAGGACACGAACTCATCATTTTTTATGGCTGCATAGTATTCCATGGTGTATATGTGCCACATTTTCTTTGTCCAGTCTATCATTGATGGGCATTTGGGTTGATTCCAGGTCTTTGCTATTGTAAACAGTGCTGCATCGAATGTACGTGTACATGTGTCTTTATAATAGAACGATTTATAATCCTTTGGGTATATACCCAGTAATGGGATTGCTGGGTCAAATGGAATTTCGCTTGACCTCCCGGGCGTAAGTGATTCTCCCTCCCCTGCCTCCCAAGTAGCTGGGACCACAGGCTACTGATTTCTCTGATTTCTAGTAAGATTGAGTATCTTATGTATTTCTTTGGGGGCAGGGGGCAAGATTTCCCAATGTAAAATAGTTTTATCTTTTTTGTCATGATTTTGAAGTTCACCATGACATGTCTGGATGGATCTTTTTTCCATTTATCTCATTAGATACTCAGTGGGTCCCATTCATTCTTTGGGATTTTTTTTTTTTTTTTTTAGATTGAGTCTCACTCTGTCGCCCAGGCTAGAGTGCAGTGACCATGATCTTGGCTCACTGCAGCCTCCACTGCTTGGGTTCAAGCAATTCTCCTGCCTCAGCCTGTGGAGTAGCTGGATTACAGGTGTGTGCCACTATGCCTGGCTAATTTCTTTTTTTTTTTTTTTTTTTTTTTGAGACGGAGTTTCGCTCTTGTTACCCAGGCTGGAGTGCAATGGCGCGATCTCGGCTCACCGCAACCTCCGCCTCCTGGGTTCAGGCAATTCTCCTGCCTCAGCCTCCCGAGTAGCTGGGATTACAGGCACGTGCCACCATGCCCAGCTAATTTTTTGTATTTTTAGTAGAGACGGGGTTTCACCATGTTGACCAGGATGGTCTTGATCTCTTGACCTCGTGATCCACCCGCCTTGGCCTCCCAAAGTGCTGAGATGACAGGCTTGAGCCATCACGTCCGGCCAGATGCCTGGCTGATTTCTTTTGCATTTTTAGTAGAGAAGGCGTTTTGCCATGCTGGCCAGGCTGGTCTTGGCTCAGGTGTTCTGCCCGCCTTGGCCTCCTGAAGTGCTGGGATTACAACAGGCGTGAGACACTGTGTCTAGCCATCTTTGGGAATTGTTTTTATCTGTTAAGTATTTCATCCCTTCTATTTCTTTTATTCTTTTCCTTTGGGAACTATTATGTTTTAAAATTTTGGGTCTAGTCTCTATAACTTTTAAAAACTTATTTTACTTTTCGCATACTTATATATAGCTTTATGGGGAACTTCCTTGGCTTGATCTTCCCAGGTTTGTTCTTAAAGTTGTGTTCATTCTGCTGTTCAGCCAACCAGCTACTGAGTTTCTTTAGAACATAATCACTTCCTCTTCTTTAATTTCTGTTTGGTTCTTTTTCATGATAACTTTTTCTTTGTTGATGTATATAACTTCCCATTTTAACCTCTGTAGAGGCAATAGATCTGTTTTTGTTAGAGTGCTTTCTTTTAGGCTCTTTAATTGTTTTATTAACTGTTTTCTTGGTTCTGTCTTTTCTTGTCTGGGTTTCGTAATGTTTGATGATGTTTGATGAGACAAGGAAGTACATGAAACAGTTCAGAAAAATTGCCAGCAAAAATAATGCAAGTGCCCAAATGGAAATATATTTTACTGCCTTACTTCCTGAGAGTGTTGGATAAATTAGGCCTTCCTGTAGATACAGCTGAACCATGTGATTATGCTGGATGCAACTGTAGTAGATTCTTCACATTAATCATTTTTTTTTTGTTCATTTGCTAAGCAGGTATTATTTAGTGCTTGTTTTGTCGTAGGCATTGTATTACACATGGTGCTAGATGCTATTAACTGCTTATAGTAAAATTCATTGGTGTAATTGTGAGAAAAAAGCAGTAAGAATATAGTTAATTTTTTTTTGAAATAGTGATGGGCTGATTATCCTTTAACAAATTGGTTTCTTCAGCGTGTTGTGACTGCGATACGTTAAATAGCCATTTGTTTGGACTGCACTAATTTCGACTTTGACAGTCAGCTTATATTCAGATTGAATTGGATATCCTTGCACTTTGAAATTACATGTAATTAGGATTCTTGTTGACTAGATATATAGAAACATCTTTACACTGCATTATTAGTATTTGCTGGCAGAGATATGAGCTAATCACCAATTATTCCTCCTTTTTTCTTAAAAGAAATCTTCGTAGCTCACACCTTAGTAATTTATTTTTTCTTTTCTTTTCTTTTCTTTTTTTTTTTTTTTTTTCACATTTGTATTGGGAGCCGGGAGAGGGCCCGCCTTGGTCAGTGGAGGTGCTGACAGGTTCTTCAGCCACTCCAGGCTGGGCCCCTGGGGATCCTAGGGGTGGCTTGGTATGTCAAGCATGTTCCCATCATCGCCGACAGGCACTGGGTAGTTGTAGGGCGTGGCCTTGTTGATCATGACAGAGTACTTGAAGTAGGGGCTGAGTGGGGTCAGAATTATAGCGAGGGTCCCGATGAAGAAGGACACGACCAGTACTGGCTCCTTGGCCCAAGCATTCGTGAGGAAGGCGCCGAGTCTCGCGGCCATCTTGGTCTTGGTGGCGGCGACAGCCAGTAATATTTTTTCATAGGTAGGTTCCTTTCTTCATTTTCCATAGGAGAATTTTACTTTGAACGTTTTCTTTTTTTGGAAAACATTCAACTAACCAAGCATTTTTGGGTCTGTTGGAATTTACCGTTTCGTTGATTGTTGGAATAGCCTCTTGGAGACATGCAGTAATGTCTGACTTCCTGTCCGTCACAGATCCCGGATTACAGGAATGCTGTAATCGTGGCCAAGTCTCCAGCCTCGGCGAAGAGGTAGGTGGGAATCTCACAACCTCTTTTTGGATCCACTTCTAAGTATTGTGTCCCTGATGAGCTCCAGGCATTCTAAATTGAACTTCAGTGGTTCCCAGTGATACGTCTTATTTTTCTTCCATGGATGGGTATTTTAAGATCGTTTTATCAACTCCATTTATTAAGTAAATATTTTAGTTTTCTCTCTCTCTTTTTTCTAATCCATGATTGCCAGACATATTTTTTAAGTTATCTTCTACTTACATTTTCTTTTATTTCTTTGTATTTTATTATTTTTTTAATTTTATTTATTTATTTTTGAGATGGAGTTTCGCTCCTGTTGCCCAGGCTATAGTGCAGTGGCACAGTGTTGGCTCACTGCAACCTCCACGTCCTAGGTTCAAGGGATTCTCCTGCCTCAACCCTCCAAGTAGCTGGGATTACAGGTGTGCACCACCACATCTTGCTAATTATTGTATTTTTAGTAGAGATGGGGTTTCACCTTGTTGGTCAGGCTAGTTTCGAATTGCTGACCTCAGGTGATCCACCCGCATTGGCCTCCCAAAGTGCTGGGATGACAGGTGTGAGCCACAACGCCTGGCCTTATTTTTATTTTTAATAGTAGAAACAGAGTTTTGCCATATTGTTTAGGCCAGTCTTTAACTACTGAGGCTTAAGTGATCCACCTACCCAGTTTAGCCTCCCAAATTGTTGGGATTACAGGCATGAGCCACTATACCTGACCTCAATCATATTTCTTGACCAAAGCCATCCAGGTTTGGGGAATATGTTCTAGTGTTTACCCCAGACCCAGATTGACAATCACTTGTCAATCTTCAAGTCTAGTGTTTACAGTATTGGTGAATATTTACAGTACTGGTGAATATTTACAGTACTGGCAAACAACTTTGTAGGTGTTTGGTGCCTCTTTTGAGGAACTCAGAAATTGATTAACAGAATTTTATTCAGCTGACAGGCCAGTTATTTGTCTGTGTTAAAGGTGACACTTTATGAAACTGGCACAACCTGAAGCGTACAAAAGGGGCAGCCTTGAGAGTTAATAGAGTGACTTATATGTAACCTAGAGTAACCAATGTGTCTCTAATACATACTTAAAATTGTATGTTGGTTGAGAGGATTTTATATACCAGTGTTTTGTGGAGAAACTACCCCATGGTAGAGGGAAAGAATGAACTCACTTGTAGGAATAAAGCCTTTTTCCTAAAAAGCCCTTTTAAAATTGTTTTCCAGTTAAATACCTTTGCTCACTGGATTGTTGCTGAGTCCTGTGTTATGAAAGAAAGCGTAGTGTAGGATGCCTCCACTCTAGGCCCATGGGCTGGCAGTATTGAAGGAGGGAGGAGAACTTGCACACAATAAGCCATTGATTTAAAAAGTATTTCACATAGGTCATTGGACATTATAAATTAAGAATAGCACTTTAATATGTGGACTTAGTATATTAAATAAAATAAATTGGCATTTGAAATAAAACCATTACATGGCTGTGTTCTTGTGGCTTTCTCAACCCAGCCAGGCCTGTGTTCACCCAAGTAGCTGTATCCTTCAAGTAGCTCTATCGTCTGGTCTCCTCTTGTCCATTTGATTAGATTGTAAGAAACAGACTGAATTTTAGAATGTAAACTTTTCAAATAGCTTTTCCAAACATTTATTCAAGGCTGAATTAATTTTATTTAGTAATTTTTCTCTGATATACATGCTTTAAAAAAATTAAAGGTGAAGAATCACACGTGTACAAACAATCATTTTAAAGTATGGAATTCACTGACATTTAGTGCATTCAGTGTTGTGTAACCACCACCTGTGTCTATTTTCAGAACATTTTCATCGACCCAAAAGAGCACCTTGTACCCATTCAGCAATCATTCCCTATCCCTTCACCCTCTGTCCCTTGGCAGCCACTAATCTGATTTCTGTGTTTGTTCATTTACCCATTCTGGACATTTCATGTAAATGGAATCATATAGTTTGTGCTCCTTTGTATCTGGTTTCTTTCACTTAGCATGTTTTCTTTTTTTTCTTCTTTTTTTTTTTTTTTTTTGAGACGGAGTTTCGCTCTTATTACCCAGGCTGGAGTGCAATGGCACGATCTCGGCTCACCACAACCTCCGCCTCCTGGGTTCAGGCAATTCTCCTGCCTCAGCCTCCTGAGTAGCTGGGATTACAGGCACACACCACCATGCCCAGCTAATTTTTTGTATTTTTAGTAGAGACGGGGTTTCACCATGTTGACCAGGATGGTCTTGTTCTCTTGACCTCGTGATCCACCCGCCTTGGCCTCCCAAAGTGCTGGGATTACAGGCTTGAGCCACCGCGCCCGGCCTCACTTAGCATGTTTTCAAGATTTATCTATGGTGTAGCATGCAGTATCTCAGTCCTTTTGATTGCTGAGTAATATTGCATTGTATGTCTATACTGCAGTTTATCCATTCATCTGTTGATGGACACTTATGTTGTTTTTACCTTCTGGCTATTATGAATAGTACTGCTGTGATTATTCATGTATTAGTTTCTGTGTAGACATAAGTTTTCGTTTCTTGTGGTTATCTATTAGGATTGGAATTGCTGGGTCATATAGCAGTTTTGTTTATGTTTTGAGGAACTACCAAGCTCTTTTCCACTGCAGCTGCCCATTCCCACCAGCAGGGTATGATGATTCCAGTTTCTCCACATCCTCACCAACATTTATTTTTTCATTATAGTCATCCTAGTGGGTGTGAAATGATACCTTATTGTGTGCGTGTGTGTGTGTGTGTGTGTGTGTGTGTGTGTGTGTGTGTGTTTTGAGACGGAGTTTCGCTTTTGTTACCCAGGCTGGAGTGCAATGGCGCGATCTCGGCTCACCGCACCCTCCGCCTCCCGGGTTCCGGCAATTCTCCTGCCTCAGCCTCCTGAGTAGCTGGGATTACAGGCACGCGCCACCATGCCCAGCTCATTTTTTGTATTTTTAGTAGAGACAGGGTTTCACCATGCTGACCAGGATGGTCTCGATCTCTTGACCTTGTGATCTACCCGCCTCGGCCTCCCAAAGTGCTGGGATTACAGGCTTGAGCCACCGTGTCTGACCCTTATTGTGGTTTTGATTTGTATTTCCCTAATGATTAATGACATTGATGTTGAGTGTCTTTTTTTTTTCTTTTCTTTTTTTTTTTTTAAATGAGATAAGGTCTTGCTATGTTGTCCAGGCTGGGCTCAAACTCCTGGGCTTAATCAATCCTTCAGCCTCAGTCTGCTGATCATATTTTTATGTGCCTTTTGGCCATTTGTGTATCTTTGGAAAAATGCCTGTTCACACCTTTTGCCCATTTAATAATTGGGTTGTCTTTTTGTTGAGTTGTAAGCACTCTTTATATATTCTACATACTAAACGCTTGTTAGATACATGATTTACAGATACTTTATATCTTCAGATTGTCTTTTCACTTGATAGTGTTCTCTAACACAAAATGGTTTTGATATTGATAAGGTTCAATTTATCTTTTTTGTTTGTTATTGCCTCTGCTTCTGATGTTACACCTAAGAATCCACTGGCCAGGTGCAGTGGCTCATTCCTGTAATCTCAGCACTTTGGGAGGCTGAGACAAGAGGATCACTTGACCCCAGAAGTTTGAGACCAGCCAGTGCAATATAGTGGACCTCGTTTCTAAAAAAAAAAAAAAAAATTAATTGGGTGTGGTGGCATGTGTCTGTGGTTCTGGCTACTTGGGAGGCTGAGGTGGGAGGATTGTTTAAGCCCAAGAGGTCAAGCCTGCAGTGAGCTGTGATTGCACCACTGCATACCAGTCTGGTTGGCAGAGCCAGATCCTATCTCAAAAAAAAAAAGAATCCATTGCCAAATTCAAGGTCATAAAGTTTACCTCTATATTTTCTCCTAATGCTCTTATATTTAGGTTTTTGGTCTTTTTTTTTTTTTTTCCTGAGATGGAGTCTTGCTCTGTTGCCCAGGCTGGAGTGCAGTGGCACAATCTTGGCTCACTGCAACCTCTGCCTCCTAGGTTCAAGCAAGTCTCTTGTCTCAGCCTCTTGAGTAGCTGGGATTACAGGCATGTGCCACCATGCCTGGCTAATTTTTGTATTTTTAGTAGAGATGGGTTTCACCATGTTGGTCAGGCTGGTCTCAAACTCCTGACCTCAAGTGATCCACCTACCTTGGTCTCCCAAAGTACTGAGATTATGGGCATGAGCCACTGCACTCTCTTTAATCATTTTGAGTTAATATGTGTATATGGAGTAAGACTGGCCTCCAGCTTCATTCTAAGCCTGTGGAGATGCAGTTATTTCAGCACCATTTGTTGAAAGACTATCTTTTCTCCATTATATTGCCTTTGCTCTTTCATCAAAGATCAGTTAACAATATTTATGTAGGTCTATTTCTGGGCTGTCTCTTTTGTTCCATTTATATATTTGTTTTTTCTTTCACCAATCCCACACTGTCTTGATTACTACAGCTTTTTTTTTTTTTTTGAGACGGAGTTTCGCTCTTGTTACCCAGGCTGGAGTGCAATGGCGCGGTTTCGGCTCACCGCAACCTCCGCCTCCTGGGTTCAGGCAATTCTCCTGCCTCAGCCTCCTGAGTAGCTGGGATTACAGGCACGTGCCACCATGTCCAGCTAATTTTTTGTATTTTTAGTAGAGACGAGGTTTCACCATGTTGACCTGCATGGTCTTGATCTCTTCACGTCGTGATCCACCTGCCTCGGCCTCCCAAAGTGCTGGGATTACAGGCTT